TAACTCTATTTTCTTTATGCAATTTTTATCGATCATTTGATAAAATTAATTAATCTTGTCGATCACTATCCTACTTATTTTATACTCCCTCCGTCCCCCTATATTTGTCCACATTTGACTTTTGGAACTGTTCATCTAAGCACTTTGACTCATCAAATTCTCTCAATGTGTAAGCCTAAATATAGTCATGTGTGATCTTGTTTGATTTGTCTTAACATATAGATTATTAATATATAATTTTTATAATTTTTTAATATACAAATTACAAGATAAAATAGATTAAAGAAGTGCATTGGATGGTGTGCAAAAATGAAAGTGGACAAATAGAAGGGGACGGAGGGAGTATATTTTTTATGTAAATTTTTTAATATACAATTATCATTGTTTAATTTTATACCAATTTTTACTTATATTAGTCTGAAAACAACTTCATTCAAACATCATATATCGATATATATCCTTATTTTTGGTCAAAGGAATACAGTATTATTCAGAGAGTCAAAGTTGAGTCACTTTGTTTTTTTCACTAATTTTATATAGTAATCTAATCTTGTCACATTTTATTTTGTTATAATTTTATTTTAATAATTGAATAAACTTGTTTTTAAATTGTATACCAACAATCCAAGCAATAAAGTAAGCTAAAAATAAATTTGATCAAACCTAAAATATATGGAAGTAAGAAAAAAAGGATGAGTCCCATCATATCTTTGAGAGCTTCCACAGAAGTGGCTGGACGATCATTAGAAGAAGGTAAACTAGACTTCAATCATAGATTGGTAGCAAATAGTTAAACTTACACATGCTACCTAGAGAAATCCTATATTTAGCATAATTACTATTGATCGCTCAGAGCAGTTTTTTAGAAATCAATCTCAAATCTTATCTTTAGTAGAACATCCGGCCACCAGCTTGTTATTGTATGTATTCTATAAGTCTATGAGACTATGAGGGAGAAAATATTAATGGTGAAGAGGACAGGTAGGACAGAGTCAATTTGTCAACAGTTGTTTTGCAAATTTGCAATGCTCGTCACGCAGCTGTCATTGCTCGGATAACTTCTCTCGAGTATTCTTTGATTTCTTTCCCCTCCATAAAAACTATTCTCCGTATAATTATTTTTTATGAATTTTTAAATACTAAAAAAATCAAAATAACTTTTGTATTTAAAAAAATCTATTTAAACTAACGAGAGAAATAAGAATTACCCTGTATATATTTATAGTTGACTTTCTACTTCTGTCTTAAATATTATGAATAAAAGTAAGATGTGAATTAATGTGATGTGTAAATTTATTTACAAAAAGTATGATATGATAAATAAAATTAGAAAAAGTATAGATCAAAGTGATTTTTTAATAGATGAAAAATGTTTTAGTAAAAAAGAAAAAAATAAAAGATAAAAGGTTTTGTTAAACAGAAGATTATATATATATATATATATATATATATATATATATATATATATATATATATATATATATATATATATATATATAAAGCAGGTGTATTTTGGTACTCCCTCGAGTCGCTCCATCGTAAATTAACCATCTTCTTTCCTTTTTGGGTTGTCCCAAATTAATCATCAACGTTCGTTTTCTATAAAGTTTTTTATGGGTCACCTTTTTTTCTCTGTTGTGCATCGTTTTCAACAACATACCCTCATTTTTTGTGCAAAGTTAAATTTTGGGTATTAATTTGAGACAAAGAGGGTATTATTTTTCTATATTGCCTTTACCTTTTAGAGTAAGAATGCGATATAAGTATTACTCGATTCGTCCCATTTTATAACACATGTTTCGGTTTACGATGTTTGATTGAAATTATTTTCAAATCATTTTATATAACAAATGATATAGACTTAAAAAATGAAAAATACATATTAAAATACTACATTAAAAGATCTACAAAACTAGTAGAGATAATAGTATTTTATTTTATCAAATTGCTAACGAAAATAGGGAAAAAAAGTGAATGAAGTTTGATCGTGTGAATAGTGAACATGCATTGTAATTTGGAACGGAGGTAGTATGTAACATTATTTCCCTGACTTTTTTCAATCTCTTTTAGGAGTATTTACCTTGTTTCTTTTTTACAAATACTCCATCCGTTCCAAAAAGATTTACACATTTTAAAAAAATTGCGTCCCACAATCCCTTACCCATTTCTATTAAAAAATCACTTTTACCCCTTACTTTTTCAAACCCTACCTATCACATCATACCTTTTTCTTAATAACCTACACATCACATCATACTTTTACTCATCACATCAAGAGTATTTTTAGAAAGTCAACACAAAATTATCTCTCCCTTAATTTCTACTTTAGTCAAAACTTACTCATCTTTATGGAACGGAGGGAGTATTTTATAAATCTATCTCTCATCACAAATTTGAACTATGGATTGAGTTGTTAATACTCGTATTTTTTTATTGGTCCGTATGTATAATCGATCCAACGAGAACTAAAACAAAGCATCCCATCCCCCACCACCCATATGATGTCCTCTACTTCCTTTCTAAAATACAGCAAATTCGAGTTTGCACTGTCGGGTGGTTACAATATAATCAATCCCCAAACCCAAACAAAGCCTTATTCATTTTAATCTCTCTTCTTCTTCTTCTTCTTCTTCCTTCTCCTCCCATTTTCATCACTCTTCTCATCAACTCCTTCGTATAAAACTATCATTTAATCTGCTGTATTTGATTTGCAATTTAGCCAGCCACTAGCTAGGGAGTGGTTAATAATTAAAAGATCATCCATGGCGGCGGCGGCGCCTTATTATCAGCATTACCGGTCTCCGTTCGGCGACACCACCCAAACCAAGGTCTTCGTCGGCGGTCTCGCTTGGGAGACTCCGGCCGACGTAATGCGCCGATACTTCGACCAGTTCGGTGACATTCTCGAGGCCGTCATCATCACCGACAAGAACACCGGCAAATCCAAGGGCTACGGCTTCGTATGTGTCTCCGTTCCTCCTCTCATTTATCCTATTCCGTTTCGAGTCAAATTAGATGAATTTTAAATTTTATTTAAAAAAATCATAATGTATTTTAGTATAAATTGATTTTAGTTATTACTACCTCCGTCCCGTGAAACATGGGACATTTGCTTTTTAGGAGGGATTTAAGGGAGTGTATTTTGGTATTGAATTTCCAAAAATGTCCTTTGATGTGATGGGTAAAAGTATGATTTGATGGATAGATTATTAGTAAAAAGGTATGATGTGATAGTTAGGGTATGAAAAAGTAAGGGGTAAAAGTGACTTTTTAATAGAAATGAGAAGTGTTTTGTGGGACGGATAAAAAAAGAAAGGGGAAATGTTTCACGGGACGGAGGTAGTATATTTATTTTATTGAGAAGTTATAAAATTGTANAATGTATTTTAGTATAAATTGATTTTAGTTATTACTACCTCCGTCCCGTGAAACATGGGACATTTGCTTTTTAGGAGGGATTTAAGGGAGTGTATTTTGGTATTGAATTTCCAAAAATGTCCTTTGATGTGATGGGTAAAAGTATGATTTGATGGATAGATTATTAGTAAAAAGGTATGATGTGATAGTTAGGGTATGAAAAAGTAAGGGGTAAAAGTGACTTTTTAATAGAAATGAGAAGTGTTTTGTGGGACGGATAAAAAAAGAAAGGGGAAATGTTTCACGGGACGGAGGTAGTATATTTATTTTATTGAGAAGTTATAAAATTGTACGTTCTCCGTTCTATAAGAATGTTCTGACTTTTAGAAAAATTAAAAAGAGATATTTTTGTGTTGACTTTCTAAAAATATTCTTGATGTGATGAGTAAAAGTAGGATGTGCTTTATAGATTATTAAAAACAAGTTATGTTGTGAACTTGTGATAGGTCAATTAAAAGTAATTTTCTAATAGAAATGAGCATTATTTTGTTGACAAGAAAAAATAGAAATGAGTTTTTGAGACGGATCAAGTATTTCATCCAGGTAACGTTTCGTGAGCCAGAGTCGGCTCGGAGGGCTTGCGAGAACCCGAACCCGGTCATCGACGGCCGCAAGGCCAATTGCAACATTGCCTCCCTCGGACGCCCTAGGCCTTCTCCCTCTCCTCCTCCTCCTCGGGGTACAATTTTCATTTCATTTTACGGAGTACTTTTTATTTTACGATCTCTAATGCAACAAACACTTTGATATTTTTTTAAGAAAAAAAATATTTTGATAATTAATATTTACATTGTGTGTGTGTGTGTTATATGTGTATGTGATGGAATATATGCAATGTAGGAGGAAGAGGTCAAGGAGGGAGTGGATATGGTCAAGGAGGGGCAGCACATGGGGGTGGGGGTGGTTTACCATCTTCTTCTTCTTCTTCTACATACAGTGGAGTGGCAGCGCCATTACCTCCGCCGCCCCCACCACCACCACCTCTTGTTTATCCACCCTACGGGTCAGTTTACTAATTATATAAAGTGCATTTCCACTTTTTAAAAAACATACAGTAATTATTTCCAGACATTATTGCAGGAAAAAGAAAAAAAAATGTAACACCCGCTACGAACTTTGACCATTAACTTTGAAAAGTGATTTTAGAATGTTATTCTGCAAAAAAATCGTCCATATAATTTTATTTAATTACTCTCTATTACCGAAAATAAATCAAAATCGTTTCTTTCATATGGAAAGTAGCTCTAAAATTTATACCCTGTAAAATTAATAATCTTCAATAGTGTATTTAGAAAAAAAGTTAGAAAAAGTCTGACACAATGTTTCATAAGACTCAACATTTGGGACCAATTCAAGGGAATATTAAGGTTTTGTTTAGAAACAATGTTAGGATTAGTACTTTGATAATTTTTTACTGATACTGATTAATAGTTTTATAGACGTTCAAGTTTTTTTTTTTGAAATGATTTTTTCGTTCGTATACTCTGAATAAATTATAAGTGTAAAAAGATTTAAGGTGAGGTAAGTACCCTTAATTTTGTGAGTAGTACTCGTACTAAACATTAGGGAGTAATAAAAATAACTTGGTTGTGTTATTTAATTTACTGCGCTGGTTGTTACGTTGATGGCGCGCTAGTTACAAAAATAAAAAAGAAATAAAAAATGGCCACGTGAAAACACTGCCAGTGGTGATCTGTGAAGGAAAAAAACATGCATATTAGTTGTCATGTTGGATCTTCTGATCATAACACTAAATTTGAACAATAAAGAGGAGAAAAAATGGAAAATAAATTAAATTTGCCATTATTACATTTAAATGATACTCAGACTTTCTGATTTATTTTGTGTGCATCTCATAAAACATTTTTTATGTTATCTAAAATATGTAAAATATTATCAAAACAATTTTTACCCATAATAAAGGAGAAATATGATGACTCTAAGGCATTATAAATATGTATAGTAATGTATTTTTGGATGTACAAAAAATGTAACAAAAATTTTGTTGAGAGGGGGAGTATAATTGAATGCAGTGGGTACATATTGGATTGGCAGTCCGGTTGATTAATAATTTTCCATAATTTTAATGTTTATTGGTATGAGTTGTCATCAATAGGAAAGAACATGCCATTGTTTTTTTCTATTATTATTATTATTGCTGCAATAAGAGATATAGGAGTATTAACTGCAATAAAAATGTGAAAATAACCTATTAACTTTTTTTGAATTAATAAAAAAAGATGTGTAAAATATGTAAAAATAATATAATTGAGGTCTATAAACAGTACATAAAAGTGTGTTTTTATTTTGAAATGGAGTATTTTATACCAATAACATTTATTAAAAAAACTTTTGTTCGTACGGTATGCTTGAAATAATCTCCATTAGATGATCCATTGTAGTGTGTTCTCCAATAAAAATATTCATACTTCCTCCTTCAATTCCCTGCTTTTCCATCTTCATTATCATAATCATAATGCATGATTATTAAATGATTTTTTTTGTATGTTAATCCTGAAATTTTCAAAAGTTGCATGAATTCTCATTGAATTTTAAAAATTGCATTCGCGCTCCCTAAATGTTTAAAAATTTTACACAAATGGTCTTTCTACATCAAATTTGGAATTACATTAATCACATGCACCATAGAGTTCTTCTTTCATCAGTAAAGAGGATGAATATTTCTTATATAGCATACGTTATTAGTCATGATTTGCGAGAAAAAACGTCCCAAACTTTAGCATTTTAAGTCTTGGGAGAGTATGAAGTTTGTACATTTTCGTGAATATTGTTATTGTTATTGTATGTCCCATAATCTCCTACCCATTTCTATTAAAAAACCACTTTTACCCCTTACTTTTTCAAACCCTACCTATCACATCATACCTTTTTTCTAATAATCTACACATCACATCCAACTTTTACCCATCACATCAAGGGTATTTTTGGAAAGTCAACACAAAATTATCTCTTTCTTAATTTCAACTTTAGTCAAAACGTGTAAATCTTTTTGGGACGGAGTTAGTATATAGGAAGTGATGTTTTGAGATGAGAGAGCATCTATATATCCCCATATGAAAAAAGTTGTACGTTGCATTTAGATACTGTGCTAAGGCATAATTTGCATGTGAATTTTCATCACACAACTTTTTTTTTTGGTTTAATTTAAAAAGGAGTGACATTTAATTTACTTTTTTTTGTTGCAGGTTTGCTGCCTACCCACCAGACTATGCTTACCACCAAGTCAGTACCATACTGTTCTCCCTCGATTTCCACATTTACCCTAACCAACCTTTCTCCACACCCGTTAATGTCTAATTACAGACACGCACAAGCACGGTTTCATGCACTTTTCTTTCGTCACATAAAACATTTTTAAGTTTTGATTTTCAAAGAATTTAAAGAAAATACGGAGTATATTTTAATATTTACCTTTCAAAAATGCTCTAGAATATGATGAGTAGATTAATAGTCAAAAATGTAATGAAATGGGTATGTTAAGAATGAATAAGGGTAAAAGTGAATTTTTTTATAAAAATGAAAAAGATTTTTCAAGGCGGATGAAAAAAAAGAAGAAATATTTTGTGGAACAGAGTATAATTCCGAGCTTGTTGTTTGTGCGTGTGTGAAAACGGACAAAGTTTGGCAACAATTTAAATTTGGGGAATTTACTTAAATAGCACTAAAATATACTCCCTCCGTCCCAGAGTATTCGTCCAGTTTTGACTCTTAGAACTATTCATCTAAACACTTTGACTCATCAAATTCTCTCAATGTGTAAGTCTATATATAGTCATGTGTGATCTTGTTTGATTTGTCTTAACATATAGATTATTAATATATAATTTCTATAATTTTTTAATACAAATTACAAGATAAAATGAATTAAAGAAGTGTATTGGATGGTGTGTAAAAATGAAAGTGGACAAATACTCTAGGACAGAGGTAGTAATGACTTTCCCTAAAAAACATCATATGTGTTTTTTCCCAATAAAGCACTTTTAGTTATGATCCATTAGTCATTCTTCAAGTAAATGTTTACCATCAGTGAATATTATTTTTCCTTTTGGACATCATTAAGCATTATTTAGGGATTAAAATAGTTTAAATGCTATTTAGGAAAATTACTTAAATTTTAGTGCTATTTAGTGCAAATGTTTCTTTAGATTTTCCTCTTCTCTTTTTTTATTTAATTTCACCGCGGTTAATTAATGTGGTTTAATTTGGTGTTTGTGAAAATTGTGCAGAGTTTTTACAGTCCACAATTCCAGCAAACAGCGGCACAGTATTACCCCTACCACCACCACCACCACCATGTGTATGGAAGTTCATCACCATCACCATCGTCATCATCATCAGGCATGATGGGATCTCCGTTATACGGTGGTGGGTATGGGTATTCAAGAGGAGCCATTTCTCCTACAACGCAACGTTTCCATGGTGGGCCGCCGCCGCCTCCGTCCTACATTTACTACCCAACAACCGCTCCCACCCCTCCTCACATGGATGCCGCCGCGTCCCCCTTCTCCGCCGCCGCTCCCCCCTTCCTCCAACCTGTCCCAAGGCGTTCCTTTTCTTCACCCTCAGGTAAATACAATCCTTTATATTCTAACACGCCCCCTCACGTGCAGGCGTGACCTCTTTGAGCCTTGCATGTGAAACTTTAATTTTTTTAAACTGAGTGGCGGTGAGTTTCAAACTCGTGACCTCTTGATCATCAAGACTCTGATACCATGTCAAGGAACCAACTCAACCACAAGCTCAAGCTTGTGGTTGTGGCCCAGGAATAATTATTTATACTCTAACAACTCCCCTATTATGATTATTACCTCTTCCATTCCCAGTAAAAACAAAAACAAGCTCGGGTAAATAAGAGCATTTTGGATGAGTTTAAACTTTTTTGCAAAGGTAATATGGGTTGGGCTCGATTGAGATAAGAGTGGTTTCATTTGGCCTAGGGGGTAGGGTGGGGCCGAGTGGGGGTGGGGGTCGTTAGGGTTAAGTGGGTTAACCATGTGACGCGAGCTGGCCAAATTGATGTTATGACCCCATGAGCACGTGACCGGTCAAATGCATGTGAAGAAGCAGAGAGAGAGAGAAGAGAGAAAGGGGATGGCATGGCATGCTGCAAACATAATACTCCGTACTTCGTACTCCGTAAGTTGTTGTCGTTATGGAAAGCAGAGAGACGACACGTGTCGGGCGTTCGTGCCTTCTCTTAGTTCGAAGGTACAAAAAAAGGGGGATACTTTGACCCCGGGGTTCACTTACCGTTAGTCCATTAACCCAGCTGCTATTCCATCTATACATTACTCCGTATATATTTCCATCATTAAAAAAGATTGCAACATTTTGTTAAACAAAGTAAAGTTTTGTGTTTTTTCGATTCATTTGCTTAAAGATTAACATAGAAGTAAAAAATAAAATTGCATATTAAAAGAATTATGTCCGAACTTTTATAAAGAAGTCGGATAAGAATATTTTATTTTAATGAATAATCAATAACAATGCAAAATTAAATATGTTTCGTGATTTTTGTATGGTGAAGTGCGGAAGTCTTTTTGGGGTGGAAGGAGTATATATATTCAATCATCGCCAAAAAATAAGTATAGGTATCTTTGAATTTCTGGCAAGAATTCCCTGGTTTGACATTATTGATTTGAAATTTATTCTAGATACTCGCTATATTATACGGAGTAGTAAGAACTAAGAAGCCCCGGGTCTCACATTCTTTGAAATACTTTTTAGAGTCCTTAAAATTTGTGATATGGTATTCCGATGATACATCCTATCCATTTAGGCGTTAGGACCTGAAGTTCCATTACTTTGACAAATAGAAGATATTATTAAAATTTAATAAAATAGTAATTATTAATGTAAAATATAGTACTTCGTATATCTTAAAGTAACAGAACTTTCAATCATAATGATCAAATAGACAGAATGGATAGGATGTATCATCGGAAAATTTACTGTGTTATTTACAATCATAAGAGCTAAACAAATCTCAAAGTTTTAGGGTATTGACATTCGAGTATTTTTTTTTCCTTCATTAATGTTTGATTTGTTTAATTATTGTAATTAATTGGTTGCACTTCTATATATGTGGATGCAGAGACGACACAGACTCCGCAACAAGCAGAAACAACGACGGAGGTTGGGGGTGTCATTACCACCTCGGAGAGCCCAAACACATAATTACATTACATTAATCCTCCAACAAATCTACTGTACAATCATTAACGTACAAAATTTAAGCCATCAAAAAATATCTTTTTTTTATTAAATTTATTTTTCATAAGGGGTCTGCCATAGGCTCTCAATGCTATTCTTCATCATCTGGATCGGATCTTACCAGCAACCAAATGCATGCCCAATTCTTTTTCTTCTTCTTTTTTAATGTTTTGGGTTTTTAGCTCTTATAATTACATCCCCCCCCCCACCACAATTTTCTAAAAGAAAATTCTTGGCTCAGCTCATTTATTTTTTTCCCCCTTAATTTAATCACTACTAGTCCATGTGTTCTTGGCTCATTTCTTTTAATAATGCCCCATGGTGGACTATTAGACCATATGTTATGGTGGACTTGACGAGAACTTGACGGGTTTTGATGAGGTGCCATGCAGGCGTCTCGCAAGTGATTGGGTATGAATAAAAAAAGGTGTTATAGGATTTGAAAGAAGGTGTAACCAAAAAGTGATGGGGTGGAATGTGAATAATTTTTACTATTTGTGGTGAATATGTGTTAAGTTTTCCTCATACGTGCACATTATGAGTACATCGGTCTACAAATATTTGTTAAAACGATGAGTCTGGTTAATGAGATTTATTCAGTAATTGGGCTAGACTTGGATATCCGATATTGGAGTATTGGACTTAGCGGGAAATATCTATTAGTGATTCTAAACGTCGTTGTGTAGGGAGGTCTTGTTAAGAGTATCCCACATCGGAAAAGTAAGAAGAAATTAATCGGTATATAAGCTCTTGAGTTGAACTAACTAATCGATTGGATTCAATTTTTTAATGCGGTTCAATCCAAGTGTCTTATTGCCCAATTCAGTTGTCCATACCCATTCTAAATTTTATCATGGTATCAAAGCCAGGTTTTGGCCTACCTCGTTTCTCAAGGTGCCCGTCTAGGCGTTCATTCCTAGCAGCCCGTTTGTCTTTAGCCCAGTTGTTCGTATGGAGTATGTACCCAACGATCTGTGGCCCGTTTAAACACGATTGCTCGTCTGGAAGTCCATTCCCAGCGTCTGGAAGTTTTACAATTCGATCAAATTTTTGAAGAAATCACTTGCCCTACAACACATATGCAGGAATCTATACTTTATTTAAAAAGAGGTGAATTCTTTAACCAGTTTTCCCGCCCATGGATGTGTTGACTTTTTATTATATATGGAGAGGTTTAGATATATTTTAGGGAAGAATATAATGTTTTATATGAAATTTAATAAATAAATATAAACATAAATATTATTATTAATCACGGTCAAATTTCTAGGGGCGGTCTAGATTTATTTTTGGAAATTTTTTTATATATGGGCTTTAATAAATAAATATAAATATTTTCTATATATTAATCATTTTCAAAGTTTCTAGGGGTTAAGTTGGTCTAGATTTATTTCAGGAATTTTTTTATATATGGACATTAATAAAGACGTGTAAAACTTTTTATATATATATGGAGAGGTCTAGACTTATTTTGGGAGAATTTGTTATATGTGGACTTTATAATTTAATTAATAAATAAATATAAATATTATTATTAATCGCGGTCAACATTTATAGGCGTTCATCTAGATACATTTTAGGAAAGTTTATTATATATGCGATTTAATAAATAAATATAAATATTTTTATTAGTCAAGGTCAAAGTTTCTAGCGATGGTTAGATTTATTTTAGGAAAAGTTGTTATATATGAATTTTAATAAATAAATTAATAAATATAAATATTTTTATCAATCACGGTCAAAGGTTCTAGGAGGGAAATAAATAATATTATTTGTATTTTTCATCATAGATATGCTTTTTATGGTATATGGAGAAGTCTAGATTTATCTTAGGAAAATTTGTTATATATTGATATTTTCTAATATAAAGAGCTTATTATATATTGAGATTAACACCATCATCATTTAATTGCAGCGGGTGGTCTAAATTTATTTTAAGAAAAAATTGTTACATGTGGAATTTAATAAATAAATAAATATATATATATTTATTTATAATGATCAAAGGTTTTAGCTGTTGTCTAGATTTATTTTAAGAAAACTTGTTGTATATAGACTTTTATAATTAAATAAATATAAATACTTTTATTAATCCCTGTCAAAGTTTCTAGGGATGGTCTAGATTTATTATAGGAAAATTTGTTATATATGAATTTTAATTAATAAATATAAATATTTTTATTAGTCACGATCAAAGATTCTAGAAGGGAAATGAATTATATTATTTGTATTTTTATTTTTCATTATATATATGCTTTTTATTACATATTGAGAGGCTAGATTATATTTATATTAGAAAAATTTGTTATATATGAACTTTTTATTATATAATGAGCTTATTATGGGGGTGTTTCGTTCTGCAGGTGCTTATTGGCTTTTTTCTCAAACTTTTACCTCCACTGTCTTTTTTTTTTTAAAAAATGACATCCTTATCTCACTTTGAAGCATCTTTTATTTAGTATATATTTTTATAAATAGTTTAGTAAATAACCTTGCAATAGGGTTTATTTTTAGAAAATATTCAGAAATAAATATTCAACATAGTTAATTTTAATATAAATGTAAATAAATCAACGAGTAAAAAATAATTATTAGTGTAAAAATATCATCTAAAAATGGCAAGAAGTAAATATTCAACATAGTATATTTTAGTATAAATTTTAGTATAAATGGAAATAAATCAACGGATGAAATACTCATCTAAAAATGGCAAGAAATAAAAAATAAGTTTCACATTTATTATGAGATTGTAAAATAAATGTAATTTAGTTTTTATCAATATTAAGTATTACATATTCCCCTGTGATAGAGATAAAATTTTCATATTCAATCCTTTATTGAACTTTGTATTCTATTATATATTAATTTCTATTCTTCAATAAAGATCTGAATATAATTTAATAATATAAATGGAGCCGTGCAACGCACGGGTGTGATACTAGTAAGGCCTAGTGGAATAAATATAGAAAGACTCATATTACCAAGAACGTCTGTTAAAATTTAATTTTATTTAAAAAAGGGCTAAGAGCAGACATATTCAAAAGTTTTTTTGAGTTTACTTAAAAGTTTTTGTTAAAGTTTATCCCACATTAAAAATTGAATAGAAAAGTAATCGATATATGAGATCTTGAGTTGAAATAAGTAATCGATTGGATTCAACTTTTAATGTGATTCAACCCAACGGCTCGTGGTCCTTTAGATGTTGACGCTAAAAAAATTGAGGAAATGAGAGCTCATTTGCAAGTGGTCAACCGATCATCTACTTGAGAGAAAGTGTTGGAATCTATATCACATCAAAAGTTGAATAAATTAGTAATTGATATATAAGCTTTTTAGTGGAATTGAATAATCGGTTGAATTTCACCTTTTAATGTGGTTTAGGTCAAGTGACACAGAGTCCAATCCAGTTATCCTTATCTGATCTTAAATTCTACTCCTCCCATTCTCAAAAACTCTTTCTCTTTCATTTTTTTACTTCCAACAAAACAATTCCACTTTCTATTAAAAAACCACTTTTACCCTTATTTTTTCATACCCTACCTATCAGATCATACTTTTTCTCTAATACTCAATCCATCACATCTTACTTTTACTCATCATATCAAGGGCAAACTACTACCTCCATCCCACTGTCTTTGTCCAGTTTTGACTTTTGGAACTGTTCATCTAACACTTTGACTCATCAAATTCTCTCAATGTGTAAGCCTAAAAATAGTCATGTGTGATCTTGTTTGATTCGTCTTAACATATAGATTATTAATATATAATTTTTATAATTTTTTAATATACAAATTATAAGATAAAATAGATTAAAGAAGTGCATTGAATGGTGTGCCAAAAGGTAAGTGGACAAAGACAGTGGGACGAAGGGAGTATAATTTAACACTTTCTTATTTTTACACAAAGTCAAAATAGAAACACTTTTATAGAACTGATGGAATATCTCTTATTTTATTGAAAAAAAGCAAGTATTTAAAAACATGGTTTCTTGTTCCTGCCGACTAGGCGACTATCTTTTCATTATTCGAGTAGTGAATAATCCTCCTATATACAATGCTAAGAGGAGCTTATGAACAGTGTTCCCGCCACTTTCACCAACTGCTTTTGGGCCGGTTTCGGGCCAAGTCTTTGTGGGCCAAAATTTGGGCCAATTTTCTAGGCCTGCGTTGGCAGCTACTTCTTTAGGTGGGCGGCTCCATAAAATAAATTTATGATACTTTATGGAGCAATGTGCCAAATCAAGCTTTAGGTCAAATCAATTAAATAATTAGGGGTGAGTATTGGTGGCTATGTAAAAAGTAGGATGTAAAAAAGTACTTTTTTTAAAAAAGTCATCATTTAGCACGCTTTATAATGCTAATACAGCTGGCCTAATTAATGAAATTGTGCCTTTTGAGACTTGGCACATTCCTACATGCAATATTTCTTGGGCATTGCATATGTAGAGATCTCCAAATCTTTAGAATCCTGTGTCAAGCGTTTCCCTCCAAAATTTCTCTTTAAATACCGATTTTGCACCACCTGTCCATGAGTGTGTAACCTACAATTTAAGTTCAGTTTGGTATCAATGCAAGACAATCAAAAAATGTGAGCTTTGATGAAATTCCTCTTCTTTCGTGCATTTTTTAGGATACTTCCTGTTTGCAAAAATGTTCTTTAAGCCTTTTTATACCATACCATTTACCGAGTACAATGTTGTATTAAACACATGAATTTTTTAGAGTTCACAATTATTCATAGGAAATCATATTTTAAGATCTTCTACACTATTCTTTCAAAATATATTGTATTTCCTTATGATGGTGAGAGTTTTAATGGTTTTAATGAAAAACTATTTCTTCTCGGGTTTAGTAGTTTTATAATTCAAAATGCATTTAAGGAAATATTTAAATCATAAGAAATTTTAATCTCTTATAGAGCTAATTTCTTTGATCTAAATATTTCAAATAGTTCTTCTCTTTCTGTTGAAAAGTCTTCTTTTAGAGTTTCAAAAAGATGTTTTTAAAATTTGAAGGAGGATGATTTTAAGGTTGCTTTTGCAAATTAAAAAACAGCTTCTCTTATAATTTAAAAGAGAGAATTTTAAGATTTTAAATATCTACGATGCTTTAAGGGTTTGAGGAGTTTATGCGGGAAAGGCTTTGGCAATTGTTAAAATAGAGAACAATTGAATTGATGGTCATTCTTATTCTATTTGGGAAAAAAACACCTACTGAAAGGATAAAATTTAAGGCACTCCAATAGTTCATGAAATCTCGAGTCATTACCTTAATTCTAAAAATTTTTCATATGAGATTTGTTAATTTTATTTCCATTTTCAAACAAATTTACACCCTTTTTATAATTTAAATTTTTTCATGAATAAATGTGCATCCATTTTAAAAAATAACAGAGTAGATTGAAAACAAAAATTCAAAGTAGATTAAGAATCAAAGCAAAACACAACCAAAGTGCAACCTTAAGAAATAAATATACCTTCGAAACAATAAATCAGTTTCAAAGATCATAGAGAAAATGCTATTAAATCCTAAGAAGATATATGGTAGACTCATACTCATGTTGCCAGGATCTGAGAAACACACTTAAGTTTGTCATATTTTTCATTCATTTCTTCAAAAAGAAACAGAGATGCATGTCAAAAGAATAGATGGTTTTCTTTATGGTATGAGAAAACTTAAAACTAAGTTCTCAACCAAAAAATTGGAGATGAAAGAAACAGATCGAAGAATTCATAGGCAAAATTATATAAAATTAGGGATTAGTACATACTCGAAGAACGAATTTGAAAAGAAATATGCAATTCAAGATAAAACGCTTACATAGCCTTCCGAAACGACTTCGTTTCCGACAGTCGTGCTGGAGCCTCACCGGGTAAACCAACCTTCGTGTGGTTGAAGGCTAGGCAAAAGTCTAAATTCGGTGCTCACGACCGGCGGCGTAGATCGCCGATGGTAAAACCCTAGAGAGAGAGAGTTGAAACGGCGCATAGATGACAAAAAAATTGGGTGGACGGGTTTGGTCAGTGCATTACCCTAAATTGGGTGGACAAGTTTGCTCACAGCCCATATTTGACTTCACACCATTAATGCAATGTTTTTTACATGTGAATTTAATTTTTTCATTTGTAACATTTTTTAACTTTGACCAGGATATGTAAAAAAAAGATCATGCTACACTTACACCAAAATTATACTCCAAACCTACACCAAAGGTATACACCAACATTTTAATGGTTCACACCGACACAAAGTGTTAGTGTGTTAACAAAAGTTTAAGTGTCGATGCGTTAGCAAAAATTAACATTACATCAACACAAAATGTTGGTGCACATCTGCGGTGTACAAATGGGATACAAACCTTTGGGGTACAAATAACTTTATCAAAAAAATACATAATGTAATATCAATATTTCTTTTTAAACAAAGTTTTAAAATATTAAAACTTTAAAAAATATAACTATGTTTAAATATCAATATTAATAGTCAAAATGATACATTAGAAACACGGGCAAAATCAATGAAAGATTAAAACCAGATACGGTAGGGTAAAAAATGTCATTGACTAGCCTATTTTACCTTTTAAAATAAATTGATAGAAACAAGAAAGAGTCAAAATGATTTAAAAGTTTGAAAAAAGTAGATAAAATTAATTAAAAATTAAAGTCTTTGAAATACGGGTAAAAAATGTGATTGAAAAACTAATAAACGACGAAGTGCATGTAATATTTTGTTTTTAATGAGTTATTTGTACAAGATAAGGTAACAAGACTTTAATTTTGGGACGCAAAATTTAAAAATATGATTTTAATTCTGGACAAATGAAGCATAGTTATTTATAAACTGATGTTTTATCTTAAATATTAAGAACACAATCTCTTAAAATTGTGACTCAATCAGTTTTAATTTCAGGAGACAAATACTCTTTCCATGCAAAACATGGGTACGGAATCTAATTATATAGAATGCTATGATAGATTTGTAAATAGTGTGCCGACCTAAGTGTATAGGCGACCTATTCGGTATTGAGTCTGAAAAAATGGCTTGAATAATGGGTAGAGATATTTGCTATGGATCCACGTGCAATGTATGTAATAATGTTTTATAGATATTCAAGAAAGTAAAAGTTGGTGTGTTGCTCAAGGAAAACTTTATGTAAAATTAAATACTCCCTCCGTCCCCAATTTGATTACAAATTGTGGGTTACGGAGTAAAATTTCCTATTTTTTGAAATTATTTTATTTATAAATTGGTATATCAATAAGATATAAAAATTACATATTAAAAAACTACGTCAAAAATTCTACAAAACAAGAGGTGACAAGAATATTTTATTTTATCAAATAATTAATGAAATCGCGTAAATTAACAAAAGTTATTGAGAAGAGAGAGAAAAAAAATTGTAATCTATTTAGAGACGGAGGGAGTATAACATATAGATTGACAAAATCCAATGATAATTTAAGAGGAAACGTTGGTATGTGAGATTATATGGAAGCTTTATGTCGAATCAAATTAAATAAATAAATTTATCAAATCCAAGCATTTAATGAATATATATTCATTGTCCATATATTATGTTAATTGAATTTTATCATTTTCCTTCATCCACACTTTCCCCAATTATTTAGTTTAGAATTAGGCCGTGCAACGCACGGGTACGAGTCTAGTAGATTAATAAAATCGGAAATGTGTTTACAAGCATTAGAGTGGCGCAGCGGAAGCGTGGTGGGCCCATACCCGCAGGCTCTGATAAATTTCTTTTTGTTTTTGACGTAAACACCCTTAACCTTGCCTATAACCCGCAGGTACTATGTAATATTTCTTTCATTACATGATTATTTTTTAAACTTTTCTATTTTCTTTATACCAAATTTTTTTTTTATTTTAGAAATAATTCTTTTATGGTGTTTACATGGATCCACAATTACATAATTCTCTACATTGTGGTCTATTTTGAATATTTTCTATTTTCCTAAAAGATTGCTATAATTTAACTTTTTTTAATCAAATTGTGGTACTCTTTGATCGCAAATTATAGAAAAGGATATTTAGTTATAATATAAATTTAGTAAAATAGAGTTCATTTTAAAATATTGTTTTAAAATATCAAAATTTTATTTTTAAAACCATCTCGTATTGTTTTAAAATGTTTTTAAAACCATCTCTTATTTTTTCAATTTAATACAATTACGATTTTGGTTCACTCTCTTTGTCCTTGAATATTTATCCATTTTTGACTTTTTTTAGTCCAAATTGATAAATTTTGATATCAATTTAAATAAAAATGATTATAGATTGTGATACAAAAATAATTTTATTAAATTTATTATATAATATATTTTTTAGATATTACTTTATGTAATAAATATAATATATATATACTCCGTATATATATTTTCCAATTACAAATTAAAGATTAAAAATATTGAATTAAAAAAATAAATCTGAATAAATATTTAGGGATCAGAATTTGTAGGCACCCGAACATTTTTGTTTGATAATTGATAGGAGTAAAATCAAAGATGTGGACCAGCTGTTAGGAGAGCTGGCCACCCGAAAGTCCAACGCGTTTAATGAATACTAATAATAAGAAGGTGACCGTCCACCATAGCATAACGGCTCCATCCTCCCCTTTTCCCTGCCGAAACTCCCAGGAGGATCAAGTCAATACACAATGCAAGTGCTGACTCACTAAGCTAATTAATTGCGGAGTCTTCCTAATTACTAATTCAACATTAATTGTTTGTCGTTTCATGCCGGGGACAAATTTTTATTTTGAGGCTATGTGTTATTGTGCGTGAATCTCACTAAAATTCATTTAACCAATCAAAATAATCCATATCTGTACCATATCGCTTTTTTGTCATGGGCCACACTCAAGCCCTACAACGCACATATTTCTATCACTTCACGTGATACCTCTTTACACACCGTCAAGCTCATCAAAACACATGATCCGATTGTTGGCGTTTTAGATAAAACGCTACTCCGTACTTCGTAATAAGTTTATAAGTTGTTGGGTTGAATTAAATTACAGATTAGATTTAATCTTTTACGGAGTAATATAATTCCAGTCAAATCTTTTGTAGCACAATTTAATACAGAGCAACAACTATTCATCTTAAATTCCATTACTCCGTATTACATTGAAAAACGTTGTGACTTTCATCATTTGCAAAGTGCTCAGCTCGGTCAGTAAGTTCATTCATAACAACTCGTAAGTTCTTAGGTACTTATCTATATGGAATTTTTACCCATGACCATGTGACTCATTATTTAACACAATTTTTCTCGAAATCTATATCGAACGGCTCATTGTTTTTTAGTTGTTGTCGTCACATGTTCAAATATTTGTTATTAACACGATTGTTCTCAAAGTCTATATTGAACGATACAGCTCGTGATTTTTTATGTGTTGCCGCTACATGTTCAAATATTTGCTTAAAGTGACATGAGGGGAGTCCAAATGGAAGTCGTCAACAAATTAGACTTTAAAACGGCTTGGTTGTCGTCAATTTGAACGCATGGGGCATCTCATTTCCTAACAGCCCATCTCACTTGAGACTGCATTAGACATGCTCGAAATTTACATTGTGGTTAATATTCTCTAGTGTTGTCGTGTTGATTGAATTATATGAATTTTAAAAGCATAAAACTAAAAGTAACCCGGCCATTCTTAATACTCTTTTCATCTAAAACTAGTTTTTTTTACTTTTAGCGATTTTGCAATAAATAATATGATGTAAATGAAATTCTAAACTTAAATGATCAATAGATAATGACATGTGTCCCTAATTGCAAGAAAAAGTTCTATATGAAACATAAAACATTTCAAGTTGAACCAAGGCAATGTGTTTTTGCACACCCATGGACCACTTGAGTTAAGTCGAAGATAATATGGAGTATTTTTAAGTATAATTTGTTTCTAGTAGTACCAAAACTTAACACGTTTTTCAAAATGACACCGAATAAGTTTTTTTTTTTCAAAACTAATATTAGATTAATTAAGTAATTAATTTTTACTATATATATTTACTAAAGCACCACTGTATCTTACTCCCTCCGTCCCTGAGTGTTTGTTCACTTTCATTTTTGCACACCATCCAATGCACTTTTTTAATCCATTTTATCTTGTAATTTGTATATTAAAAAAATATAAAAATTATATACTCCCTCCGTCCGGAAATTTTCTTCCCGTGTTGATTTGGCACGCTTATTAAGGAATAGTAAAAAAAAATGCAAAATTTTCAAAAATGCACTTACCATAAACTTTTAAATATCCTTTTATTATTAAAAAAGTATTAAAAAAGTAGATTTGTGATAAAATAGAAGGTTATAATTGATATTTAGCCTTAAAAAGCATACTAAAAAAGGAAATGAGAAGAATATTTCTGGACGGACTAAAAAGGAAAATGGGAAGAAAATTTCCGGACGGAGGGAGTATTAATAATCTATATGTTAAGACGAATCAAACAAGATCACACATGACTATTTTTAGGCTTACACATTGAGAGAATCTGATGAGTCAAAGTGCTTAGATGAACAGTTCCAAAAGTCAAAAGTGGACAAACACTCAGGGACGGACCAAGTAATTTTTTTGTGCTCCATATAAAATACAGACTATGATTTTTCCCTTTGATTCGTCTGCTTAAATTTTTCTTTTGAGGAGACATTGTAAAAATTATAAACATTGTTTTCTAATCCGGGACATTGTAAAAATTATGGAAAAAGCATGATATTATAAAAATTGTGAACATTGTTTGCTGATGATCGAGAACATTATAAAAATTATGAATATTGTTTATTGATCAAGGATTTTGATGGCTATTGTAGTGATATTTATAATTATGACAAAGTCTTTTTTTTTTTTACCGAGAATGTCTTGGCAATGGACACGTAGACACGACTATATTGAACCTTGTTAGAGTGAAATCATGGAAGCCATTAAATCATGCATAATGAACATTAACGGAGTGGCAGAGGGACACTAATGTCAGCATTTTGCGATCAACAGCGGGAAAGACGATAGGGCGTGATGGAACAATAAATAGAAAATCATATAAATTACTCCTCCGTCCTCCTAAGATGTTCTCATTTTGACTTTTGGTGGTTTTTAAGGAGAGTTAAAAAAAGGTGAAAGTTTACCATAATACCCTTAATGAAAATGAATGGAGTGTATTAAATGAGGTGGGTGAGGTGTAATAAATAAAGTAAGTGGGGGTAGTTGTTGTATTTTAATTCTTAAAAAATGAAATGGGAAGATCTATTGCGGACAAAGAAAAAGGGTTATTGTGAAGATCTATGGGGGACGGAGGGAGTACATTTTAATACATTAAACTTAATAATTAATTATTAATTAATTAGATTCTAATTGTGATAATTAAAATTTAAAATTTGTAATGTTATAGAGGAAGATTCAATATATTTGAGGGATAGTGCTCTGTATTTTTAAAGAAGAATGCTAGGGGTACACCATTTGGTGTACCACATTTGTACACCAACAATCATAGCCATAGATTTCCTTTTATATTTTTAATTTTGTTTTCTTTTCTTGCTTTTGTGTGGTGGAGATGGAGGGATACAAATAGTGTACAAAAATTGGTGTACTCCTAGCATTTTTGATTTTTAAAATGGAAACTCCTAAATGCTCGGATATTATAAACGCGCCTATCCCATCTTCCCGTTAAAATACATAGTGCCTCTTTTGTCCTCTTCCCCATCAAGCAGCTGTCCCTTAGCTGTCTCCATAAACCACTCCATAACCTATCTAATATCTATCCTTCCTTAGCTGTAGTCCATATGCTTAGCAGCTCCTTCCCTCCCATTTCATCAATGCCGCCGCGTCTCCCTTCTCCTCTCCTCTCATCTTTTTTATTTTTAACTCCATTCTTCCATCACTATATAATACGCATTCCTTCCTCCCCAATTTTCATCACTCCCAAATCCCAACTAAGTCCACGCACCTCGATCGATCCAATTAACCCCAAATGGCTTCCTTCACCGCTCTCCTCTTCCATCTCGCCGTTTTCCTTCTCCTGGTGGCTCACCCCTCCGCCGCCGCAAGGCAGCTCCCCCACTCCTCAACTCCGGACTCGTCTTTTCCCTTTCAGTACCACGACGGCCCCCTGCTCACCGGCAAAGTCTCCGTCAATCTCATCTGGTACGGCAGCTTCACTCCTTCCCAACGCGCCGTCGTCACCGACTTCGTCTCCTCCCTGTCCAAGTCTCCCGCCGGCCAGCCCACCGTCGCCACGTGGTGGAAGGCCACCCAGAAGTACTACGACGCTGCGCTCAAGTCGTCCTCCAGGAAGGCCTCCCCGCCGCTGGTCCTCTCCGCCGGCGCCCAGATCCTCGACGAGGATTACTCGCTGGGGAAGTCCCTGCAGGACCGCCACCTTCACGAGCTCGCCGCACGCGGCGGTCAGAGAGACGCCGTCAACGTCGTTTTAACGGCGTCGGATGTGACGGTGGCCGGATTCTGTACCAGCAGGTGCGGGACCCACGGTTCTCTGTTGAGTTCCAAAATTGCCCCTGTCAAGGGGAAGAGTTACAAGTTTGCCTACATCTGGGTGGGCAACTCCGAGAGCACGTGCCCCGGGAAGTGCGCGTGGCCTTTCCACCAGCCGATATATGGGCCGCAGGCCCAACCCTTGGTGGCGCCCAATAACGACGTGGGCCTGGACGGGATCATCATCAATTTGGCGAGCCTGCTTGCTGGGACCGTTACGAACCCGTTCAACAACGGGTACTACCAAGGGCCGGCGGAGGCCCCGCTGGAGGCTGCCACGGCTTGCACCGGAGTTTACGGAAGTGGGGCCTACCCCGGCTACGCCGGAAATCTGTTGGTGGACGCCGCCACCGGCGCCAGCTACAATGCGGTGGGTGTGAACGGAAGGAAGTATTTGCTGCCGGCGCTGTTCGATCCTTCGACGTCGTCGTGTTCTACGCTGGTCTGAGCTGCTGTTTTGTCTCGCCGGAGTTTTATGTGTCACCTCTTACATATTCTTTGATTCATTTGTTCTTTCTTTCTCGCGACTCATTCATTAACTAATAGTGTAATGATAAATACAGTAATATAAAGCAATTCTCTTTTTTTCTTTGCCCGGAATCTAATTTGTTCATATGATTACGGTTTCCAATGTATTTGGACATTAAAAAATACAAAGAAATCAAGTGATGTGTCACTAAACTAAGATACAATTTCGGTTTCTGAAATTTACAATTCTCACTAAAATACCGCTGTAAACAGTAAAGTCCGCCTCAGTTAACCCAATCTATACTATATACAAAAGCAAAATAAATCAACCATATTTTTGGTAAAATAAAAAATAAAATATGCATTAGGAAGTTGGAGAGACAAATATTTTGATTTAATGTAAAAGGCACATCATTCAAGGACACATCGTATACCTTAAATAAATATTGGATGCACGACTATTCATTGTTACATGTGAGTAATTGCTAAAATAAATGTTTTATACGTTCAAATTAACTCATGCATTGTAATTGTTTGGTTAATCCTTAGAAATATTTACACTAAATAGCATTAAAATTTAAGTCATTTCTTTAAATAATACTTAAATTATTTTATTCCCTAAATAGCACTTAATAATATCCATAATGACCAGTGGTGGCGAATATTTACTTGAATAATGACTAATGGATAATGACTAAAAGTACAACATTGGGACAAAAAATACATGTAGTGTTATTTAGGAAAAGTCATTATTCCCTCCATCCCTAAATATTTACAACATTTGCTTTTTTAGCAGTGTCGGGAACTTTTGTTTATTTCGATGTTTTCATTGATTATTTGATAAAATAAAATATTCTTGACACCTCTTATTTCGAAGAACTTTTCATGTAGTTTTTTATATGTAAATTTTATTTTTTATTTCTTTACCAATATGTAAATAAAATGAATTAAAAAAACATGATATTTTGCCTCGGTAATACAAATGTGGCAAATAATTTGGGACGGGGAGTATATTTTAGTGTTATTTAGGTAAATTTCTCCTTCACTACATAATTTTTTTAAGAAAATGGATCGCGAGAGAGATCACAATGGTGGTGCAGGGATTGGGAAAAAGATGAAAGGAATTGTTATTGATTTTTCATAGAACTTTTTGAGAAAATGATCGGGAAAGAGTAGAGGAACTTAGGGGGAGGAAGATTTTTCTTTAAATTAACCATTTATTTTATTAGGGTATGTTTGGAGAATAAAACAAGTATAGGTTTCAATATCTAAGATAGGGGTAATAGTATAGGTGCTCCGTGGTTTACAAAAAAAGTACCAAAACTTCATCTACTTTCAAAAGTTATTTGTAAAATCCCTGTAGTTTTAAATAGTGCAAAAACATCTCGTCTTGCCTATTTTTAGACATGAAATGACATTTCTGCTCTTAGTTTTTCTCTATTTTCAAATTTAACTTTTTTATTTGCATTTTTTGTTATACAAATACATAAAAAAAATACGGCCTCTTTCTCAAATTAAAAATTTTCATTTATTTAATTTTCAAAAAAATATTTTTTTAGAAAATGTTACGAAAAAATTAAAAATTAAAAAATTAAAAATTAAAAAATGAAATACACTTTTTCATTATAAGTAAAAGTAAAATAAATAAAATAAAAAATTAGATAACATATACTCACTCTATCTCTAATTAAAAATTCTAGCTTATTTGTTTTTTCAGAGTAACATAACTTTTTAAGGATTTTAAAAAATGAAGAACATAAAGATGAAATAAAATAAGAAGTTAAAGAAAAATACTGTTCTTTATATTATTATTTATTTTCATTACCTTTTTCAATTATTATTTTTACTTTATACATGATATTTTATTTTTCATTTTCTTCTGTAACATTCTCCAAAACAGTCTTTTGTTTACAAAAGTACATTATGAAAAAATCTAATTTGAGATGAAAAACGTATATTTTATTTTATATATTTGTATAATAAAGGATAATAAAATTGGGAAAATTCAAGATTGGGGAAAAGAAATGGCATAAATGTCATTTTTGCTTTAAAATAGGTAAGAGAGACATGTGTGCCCTATTTAGAAATCATAAGGGCTTTATAAATAACTTTTAAAAATTAGGAGGTTTTGACGCTTTTTTTTATAAATCACGAGGGACACTCATACTATTAGATCATCTAAGATATCAAATTTCTAAAAAGGATATTCTCTGAAAAACAAATAGATCCAGAAATGAAATACGAGATAGGGGATATCTCCAAAACACAGCACTCACATGATTAAATCCAAGACTTTACTATTCAATATCTTTTTATATAAATTTTCATTCAATAAAACAAAATCAAAATAGATTTTAATAAAATAAATAAATTTTTTTATAAAATAAATAGTACCAAAAAATAAAATAAAAAGTTCAAATTCCATTAACAAGAATTAAATCATTTCAATTCAATATTTTAAATAAACTACGGAGTACATTTTAGTTTATATAATAAATTTATAATAAAAATATTGTCAAGTACTTACATTTGATTTCTCAATAGCTCATTGAACAATTGTGAGTGTAATCTAATGTTATTTCTGTTTTCACCCAACACTTTCTTCACATTTCAAAACTCATACGGAGTATCATTTCTTTTAAATTTCAAAATTCATATCTTCTCTTCAATGAGCACTTGGTCTCAATATAATATTCCACCCCAAAATGTTCCTTAGCAAAACGAAATGTTTTTTTTCAAATTACTTTATTTTATAATTAATATAAAAATAAAAAATATATAATTTACATTTTAAAAGGTTATATCAAAAGTTTTTTGATATATGAAGTGACTAGAATATATTATTTTATCATACAATCGATGAAAGCGCATAAATAAACAAAAATTTCAAAATTTTTGAATACTAACTGTGACATTCTTTTTTTAGATAAAGATTTTATTTTTATTTGATTTGTTGGCATCAGATTTGAAAATTTTTAGACCACAAATTTGAAAAGAACATATTGAATAATTTTGTAAATTTGAAATCCAACTGTATTTTTTTAATTTAAAAAAATTCAATTGAATCCAGGCAATGATTCTAGGACTTATGTTTGATAATGTAAATATATTTTAAATCCTATTTAGAGAATAAAAATATATAAGTCTTATTTTAGTATATTTTCAATGTTATACTCTTACTTTAGTCTTTCTCCCTTAATTTGGAACATGAGGAATATTTTACGTTAAATCAAATAATTTATGTGTTTGTGAAATTTAATATAAATGTCTAGGTAGACATTATTTACATTTAAAAAAATTGAAAATTTTATTTGCCGTGCAACGCATGGGTATGAATCTAGTATAGCATTAAACTAAAGGAGAAAAATATTCTTAGAGTTTTGTAAGAACAATTTCTTCCCCATACAAAAAAAAAGTTTGAAATTGTATAAATGTGTGTAACGGACTACATACTTCGAATTGGACCTGTAAATCAGATTGGAATAATCAATTCTGGGTTATGCCATATTCTAACTTGTTTGGGTTGAGGTCCATATCTTTAAAATTTTGGTCTAGAGCTGAAATAAAATCGGGTCAGATCGTTCGTAAAACCGAATTCTTACATATCTTTAACTGTCTCAAGCCCAATAGCATAAATGGATACGAGTAGTACTTCTTAGCCCAAGGTAGAAGGAATATGTCTTATTATATTCTTTAGATATGATGATTTACACAAAAATGGCCCGACGGGCTCGACCCGAGTACAATTTGGGTGCATCTCTCCAAACAATATTATCTTATCTTTCTCTTTATGTCTGTCTAGGTGAGGTGTGTTCGGGTCGGAGCGGGTAGAGGGGTTTACCGAGAATTAGGGAGTAGGAATCATCAATTTTAATAACAGGACACCTGAGCATCACTGGATCATCCCATGACATTGTCGGGCAATGTCATGGAAACCCAATAACTATAGAGGATTTTTCATCATCCAATTTCCACAATTCAAACTCTTATGCCAAAAGTAAAACCTAATACCTCCATGTCAAAAATAAAATTTACTCTTTTTGAAAATTAAACTCCCCTTTATTGAATTGTCCGTACTAGTTTTTGTGTTTTGCAACAAAAATCATATCCTCCATGTCTCAAATTATTCTTTTCATTTGAAAGAATGTACAAAGCCCGGTCCAGTTTAATTTTTTTTACAAATTAGTATAGAAATAAAAGATACAATGCAAACTAAACCATTAACAAAGTACATCAAAAGTTATACGAATCAAGTACTGAAAAAAATATAAATATTTTATTTTTTTTCAAATAATAAATAAAAACATGCATATAAATAGAAGTTATCGAAATGCGGTATTGGTAACTGGAAAGATTTTTTAAAAGTAGAAGAAGTACAATCTAAATTTATATACAACCACAAGTGAAATCGATCGATTATTTTTTACAGAATGTATGCAACTACGAGAGATGAGAGAGAAACATGTGTTGTAAAGAAGCGCGGTGACAATGGATTTGATTATACTTCCTTCTTCCCAATGATGGATTGAAATAGTGTTAATTCAATTTATTTAGAAATAGGTATCCGCCCTCAACTAATTTGCACCCTCACTATTCTAATGTCAAAGTTTAATCAATTTATTTCTTTAATTTCACTACTTACTTTGAAGTTTGAAGTAACAAATTACCACATCTTTTTTTTGTAGAAGCTTTAATATTTTTATAAGTGTTTAAATTATTAATTTAAATTTATCTCAATCTTTATATAAATTGAATCAAATATCTTTAGGGCACACCAAGTTGTATCTCATGTTATATCACATCCCGTACCGTATAACTTTCAACAGAAGCATTGAGGGAACTGACGAAGTGAGGAGAGAAGATAGCCGGATAGGGTTGCAACTCTTCGTATATTAATTTCATTTGCATTGGATCAATGGATTTGATTAATTAGTTTTGGGCTGGACATCTAAACGGACTATGCTATAATAGTTTGGATTGGATTTTTCAGTTGATTTTAATTATTTATGCCCAAAGCTGAAAACCGACCGTTTAACCGATACATTTTGCTATCTACTAAATAAAATTGAATCTGAATTTTCGGTCTGTTCAATTTTTTCCCATCGGTTGCACGGTT